AAAATGGGGGGAAAATAAGTAAGTTGAGCTGGAAATCTGTGTCTTCTGTACCACTGAAACGTATTCCCGAAAACATATGTCGAAATATGTTTGCGGGAATCACCCAATACAAACAAACAAAAATAAATTAAAAAATGGCACGAGTCCATCGTTGAATCTGAACAATCTGAACAAGCAATCGCGATCGAAGCGTGTGTCCCATTTATAATTTGGTCACGAGTCACATACAAACCGACGTCTTCCACATAATCTCGATGGCTCTCCAAAAAATCAATTCCATTACTGTATTTTGTTCTTTCCAAAATTCTTCGTTCATCGTGCACGACAGTGCAGGTGGCATGGCACGACACCGGTTGTGAGCAATTGCAGTGCAACGCTCTGACGGAAAGTAGAGATGATTAGTTACGAGTCATTGTTATGCGGAATGAACCGTATCAGCCACCTTTGAAGAATGATGAACAGATCAAACAATATACTGGTCACGGCACAGTCGATTGGCTTTTGGTCCCACGGGCTCTTCCGGTTCGTTCTCATTGTTGCGACGGCGTTTCTTTTGGATCCCTTGTCCTGCCTCGCAGACGACGATAATGACTCGGCTGCCTCCCAGGGAAACTGCCCAAAGGTTTGTCTGGACGTCCGGCAGGGATCTAGGCACTACGGCCTGTTCCATCCCGTGTCCACGCCAAGCAGCGTCCAAGACTTTTACAACTACCACAACTACTCGTTCAACGGCGACGACATTGTGCCGCTCTTGCCAGACCAGAGTCTGGTTCTGATCCACCACGACAGCGAGCTCTGTGACCTTTCTTTTGTCGTTGTCCACGATTCCAAGGACGATTTCACCGGCGGACAGGCCCTCATGTTTGTGAGCGGGAACCACGAAGACGCCCTGGTGCAGGACGGACCGGGAGACGGCTCCCGGTCGGATCGGTACGTCTATAGGGGCTACCGCCGGGGCGCCGACGACGACCGGACGGAGCTCTTTTGGGAATGGGGCTGGCAGAAATCGCCTTCGAAACGGTATAAAACGGACGGAATAGCGGACCGATGGAAGAATTCACTCGACGGCAGCAGCAACGACGACGACGACGACGACAAATGCCTGTTTCTTTCGGCTCGATTTATTGAGGGAATTGAGGCATGGAGGTTCGTTCCAGGAAGCAGCAAGATCGATCCGAAGGATTACTTGTATCTAGACCAAGACGAAACACTGCGAGTGTGTCAAGTAGAGTGCAGTAGATATTAGTGTGGAGAAGAAAGCCATCATTAAAAGGGGTAGACTTCCAGGGTGCTTTTTTGCAGAATCGTGGAACCGGCACACGTAGTCCAAAGAAAAAACGATCAGCATGTGCAAACAAACCGTTTCGTTGTTTTGAACGAGCCAACTTAAATTTAGTGTATTCAACAGAAGCAGCAACAAGAACCATATTAACTTCGTTTCAAAAAATTCAACTTTATTCGGCATCTTTTTGGAGCGACATTAGGACGGCTCAACATTAGCTTCTAACTTGGATTACACGATACAATTATTGTCTATTTCAAAACTAATGCTATCATAAATGTTTTATTTTTTCAGCCCATAATTTTGGCAATCGACTTGGCGGCTAAGAATCCATAGTACGTGGCCGGTAGCAAGGTCAGAAAGTCGATTGGGGTGGATTGCCCGCTCGACAAAAAGGCATTGAAGAAAATTCCACCGATGATGATGTTGATCAGAGCGCTCGGGAGGGCCTGGGCCGGGGACAGCCGGAAGGGATCCTTCGCCGACATTTCAGTGACCTGTTCCGCCAGCTCCGGGCGTTCGGAATCTCGATAAAATTGCATAGCTGCTCCGTTCATGCAATATCGTTGCCCGGTGGGGTCTGGACCATCTATTTTTGAATCCAAACAAAAGCGTTTGTATCGCACGGCGGAGGGTGTGGCGCGTTGCGAGGGAAGCATCAGTGCAATTGGTAAGATCGGATGGCATTCAACAAGCACACAAACAAGCAAAGACATGAAATGTCGCCAATGGCAACGCTCTGGAATTCTCCGGTGCAAAACGTAGCCCTGGTTTTCCCCAACCGAGTGTTCTTCCGATCACGAATTTGCTTTTCCCTCTTACCTTCGAAGACATGCCCCAGGTGACCACCGCACTGGGAACAGACGCACTCGGTGCGCGGGACAATCATCTTGTAGTCCGTGTTGAGGGCGATCGCCGAGGACGTCACGGGCGCGAAAAAACTGGGCCAGCCGGTCCCGCTGTCGTACTTGCTGGACGCCACAAACAGCGGGTTCTCGCACCCCGCGCACACAAAAGTTCCGGCATCGACCTGGCCGTTTTTCTCGACCGAGATTTTGTTGAGCACCGACGCCCCGGGGGTTTCCGTACCCTCCTTGCGGAGGATATAGTACTGGTCCGGGGTCAATATCTCCTTCCATTCCTCGTCGGACTTGGTTATGGGAAAGTCGGTCTTTTGGTCCGGCTCAGTTCCGGGTGGGGCACTGCTGTGGAGCCTGCTGGTAATTCGGTGGTGGACCACGTTACCAATGACACTTTGGTTCACACGACGGGCGCTGTAAATCTGGAAAGCATCTACGGATGACAAAAACGCCACCACGATGGTGGCAACCGCGAGGGTCGTCGCATGGCTTCTGCCCAAAAGCTCCGATTGCGCTGGCCTTTTTTCGAATTCAGAATATTTCATTGCGGGAATATTTTCCTGCAAAGCTGAGGTGGAAGGCTTGGAATGGGACCGAACTGACCTATGGTCACAATTGGAATAATAACTCTGCCGCTTCTCAGCTGTGGGGACCGTGGTTCTTGATGCGAACGTCTTTACTGTATTTTCCATTCAACAAAGATGCTGTCGTTGAGATCGACGTTTTGGATTTTGTATGCACTAACTTCGAAATAGATTATTTTTAATCGAAGTAGTCATGTGTAAGCTACCGTAGCGTATCCGACGCTACCGGCCGGTATCAGTTTCATTGACGCGACTACCGTACATCTCGTACCGGTACGAACAGTGACGGGTGAGTTGTTTTCACGAAACTGAAACCACTTAGTTGAATCAATGTAGTCGATCTGAGAAATGGGAATCAATGATGTTTGACAACGAAAAAAAGAATCGAGAAGAAAGCAAAAAACATTCCAAACGTCGTAGACTTTGCGCAAATGTTTTTGTAAATGTTGTTTTGGATGCCATGTGAAACGTGACATCAAGGTTACAAATCACAACTTACTGATCGAGTGCTATCGAACAATCGTACAAGTGCTTTCAATTCCGTCCACCGTTGCGAAGAACGAATCAAATTCATTTTGAAGAGTTGGTTGCATTAGTTTAGGTCCTCGGAGAAGGTGGTTAAATGATGCTGAAGTTATTTTGTTGATGCCACTACTCTAGAACCAGAAAGAACCAACATTCACATCCCCTCCAAGTACATACCAATTGAGATAGCTATCTAGCTATCGCCACATCACGTAGGAAAATGTCGTCTGATTCGAATTCAGCATCGGTTCGAGTCGATGGCAAAGGTGATACCATCGAGGCTTCAACGAGAAGCCAAGAAAAAGAACCTTTGGCGAACTCGGTGTCATCTCTCTCGGTAGTGAGCGCTCCTCCCATTGCTGCTGTGACTACTACAGGACAGAGTCCGACACACATTCCATCTTATTCTTTTTCCAACAACGCGGGCAAAAATCCCAACGAAGCAAGTTCTCTCGACTTTATTGGAAACAGTAGTGCCGTCAAGAAATTGTTCTCCATGTCTATCGATGCCGCTATGGGACCGGGGGCTCTGACGGCGAACCAGAGCAAGAAGAGAAAGCCGTCTTTGCTCGCTGTGCATAATTTCAACGGCACCCTCATCCTCGACGATGCCGAGGACGAATCAAACTACGAGGTATATTCCGAGAGAAACCACACGGGAGGAGGAGCGAATCCGGCAGCAACCGAAACGTCAGAAAATACATTCCTGCCACCGTCGAGCCGTTCACTCGCCCTGGCTCTTTCTCCAGCATCGGCTGGAGAGGATGCGGCCGAGCAGCAGGACTATCGGGAACAATCGGATGCCCTATCGTTGCTTTCCAACATCGTTGGGCCATCGTCCGCTCTAACTACGATGAAAGAGTCCGTGCGGCCCGTTCGCCACGAATCCGTTGAGAGCTCCGAGACGGAAACAGCCTTGCTTGCTCCACCAAAGCCTCCCAGGGAATACATTCGTTGGAAATTCCAGGACATGAATCTGCTTTTGGGTCACGATGCCTTAATTGTTCGGCCTACACCCGGCACCGGTACAGCACATCGGGGGGGATCGTCCACACAGGGGGCAATGAGTGGCATCACGGTGCGGGTCGAAGACGCGGAATTCCTTCGGGACTTGTTTGACGCCTTCCAGCGACAGCAGAAAAATTTCTTGGACAACAGCAAAAACCAACTGTCGTACGCACAGGCTTTGCTGCAGAAGGGCGAACCTGAGCCTGTATCCTCTACTGTCGAAATCACGAATACTAATGGCAACGATTTCGACCGGGGAGCTTTTGACGCAAAAGAAGATGGAGGGATTCAAGAACAATTTTCATCGACGCGGATGCATGTGGACGCTAGCCATAGTAGTGGTTTCAATCCTCCCGAAACAGGCAAGGGCGAAGAAACACACGAGTCGAAGAAAAAATCCAACGAGTCCTTCTCCGAAGTACCCCTCCAAACATGCATTGTTCCCTTTTCCGGACCTTTGGGCGGTAGACTTTCCCCGCAGAACTCGCCAATCACCGGTCCATCTGTGGATGCATCAACCAAAAGCCCACCACCAAGTGTTGCCTCTACCTTTGGAAACTCCTCTCCCGCAATATCCATCGTATTGGATGCCTATCTCGATAATCTCATGGCAAACGTGCCACAGCTGGCCCTGTGTCTCCAAGAAAAGGGATTGGTGCAGAGCATCAAGCTTCTCCCGACCGAAGAAATTCCTTCGAAAATGTTCCATCCATCCACCCTAGACACCAGTCGTCCGGTAGATTTTTTGGCGTCTTCCAATAGCAGCCGCCTGGGCAAAACAAACGTGCAGTCTAGCACTAGTAGCCACCCCCTGCCCCAAGAGGAAGAATTCTTTTCTCCACAAATAATGGAAATGAATGCAAGCGCCCTTCTTCGATTTCTAAAGACCCATTGTACCCAGAACAACTCGACATATCTCCTACGGCGTGAATGGCCCGCCACGGAAGAAAACCCCGGTGGAGGCAGTGGAGATGAAGGCGGGAGTAGCTCACAGCCACTGCAGAATATCCACCTATACGACATTTCCGCTATTTCCACGCAGAAACAAAAGAAATGGATATGGTGGCTAGCCACGATGTCGTATAGATTTGCCTTGCGGTTGCGACACTTGGAATCTTCATCGACTTCGTCGTCATCCCAATCACCCGCGCATGTCGGCCTTTCGGAATCCCAGAAACGCGCGATTCGAGATCGGCAGCGGAGCCTATTCCAGCAAACTCTTGACCTTTTGCAGGACCTTATGGATATCGATGGTAACGCACACGAGTCGATGGTAGCCTCGGTCCGAGAGCACATGGCAGATACATATTTAAGTAGCGCAGCAGTCGGTGGAGATGACGACTTGGATGAGAATTCTCCTGTATATAGAGAAACCAAGGGTAAGAGATCATCTATGCACTCGTCTACACCAGCAACATCCGAATTCTCTCCCTCTCCGCCGGTTGTAACGATGGCCGCATCGTCCAAAGCTTCCTCTGAAACGAGTCCTTCATCTTCTATTCTGCCTTCCAATTCAATGACAAGATCACGATCGTCGGAATATTTACCACGAGCTATTCCATCGCCTTCCAATCACGATGATAGACAGCATCAACCCTACGCGTCGATTTCAATAGATAAATTGAACAAAGCGCAGGACCATCTAGTGCGAGGCATTGATACTCTTACTGCTGTTTTTGAAAAAGACCTAGAGAGGAGGAGATTGCAAAAAGAAATAGAAGCTCAGAAACAAGAGGCGATACGAAAGAGGTCGCGTAGGAGGCAGCGGCAGCAACACAAAAATGTGCAGGAGGCAACATCGCTTGGCAACAATTACGAAGAAAATGCCGATGAAGAGCTAAAGACAGTGTCTCCCGCCATGTCAATGCAACTTTTTGGAATGAATTTCAAGCTCGTTAATATATCTTTGCGTCTTGCAGAGCATCACTTAAGAAATTACTATTCCTCCAGCGCAATGCAGGCTCTTCGAACGGCAGCTCGCCGACTCAAGGACGCAGCACATTTACTGGACTTCTATAAGATGGAGACCGAAAAGAATATCGATGGAAGTGGAGAAGACAAGCTAGACGACAAAACACAACAAGAACCACTTCAACTGCAGTATATTTGGCTGCTTGAGCATTGCGGACATTTTGCTCGATCTTTCGCTTCTGATGAATTATGGAGAGATCGGGGCCACGCTTCCGGGGAAGATGTAATTTCTGTTTTGAACGATGTTGAAAATGCATTTGTTGAAAATGATGGAATTTTTGGAGCCAAAAGACGAGAAAATCAATTTTGGCGTATGGTGCAACTAGATGTTCTGCTGAAAACATCTAAAGGAAGGATCAGTCTGCAATCATTATCAGGTGTTGTTGCTCCGCCAAATGTTGGTTCAAAGCAAGCAGAGGAGGCAATTGTAAGAGCGGAGAGTGTTTTACAGAAGGAACGAGTTATACGACGCGAAAGAAGAAAGGTCTTGGTAGCATCATGTGTATCTTATAGTAGGGCCATTACTGCCTTTGAATTTATCATGCCAAGCGACCCGGCATACGATAAAATGGTTCTGCTCAATTTACTGCAACAGCGTCTCGGAGATGCTTGCAATGAAACTGGAAAAGTCTTACTAGCCGCACTCCGGGAACTTCTAGTGATTAATCAGGGCGGCAAAAAGAATGACGGATCTCAGCTGGCAGCGGAAGCCCTGCTTTGCTCCGCCGAATTCTGGTTCACCCAAGGGCTCGATGCCTTTGAAGCGTGCGGCGACACTCGAAACCTAGCATTATTGAGGTGCAATCTGTGCCAGTCTTACAAGCTACGGGCAAATTCTGGGTTTTCAAAGGGTGATGCTTCGTCTTCGTCGAAGCACGCCGAAGACTGTCTTCAAAACGCTGCCGATCAGCTTCTTACGGCACACATCGATCTTGGCGAACGCGACGTGGACCCGCAGACATGGGACATGGTCAGTGAGGAGCTGGCGGCTACATTTTTAGTGCTCGGAGTTCGTCGACGACAATCTTTGCTCGGTAGCGGGAATGCACCGGTTATTTTTCAGGTCATGCGGCTTTCTCCCGGCCAAGAACGCTCCATCGTGGACCCAATGGAGCGGGCCCTGAAAATATACGAGCAGTCGGACAACTCGCACCAAGCGGCGGCCGTGCACTACCAACTCGCCCTAACGTATTCAAAGCTATGGACATGCCAGTTGAACGAAAGCAATACCCGAAAAAAATTGTCCAAGGCCTTTGAACACTATAGCTCGGCGTTCGTTTACTTCTCGAACCACTCTCAGGGCAACGAACCAACCTTTTGTTTGCTCTGCCTGGATTTGGCGAGCCTCTACGCCGCGATCCCCGGGGAAGAGGGTATTATCAAGTCTCTCGGGTGTTGCCTCGATTGCTGCGATACGTTTTCGATGGAAGCCATCAAGGCCAGCACCGCCCTGGCATCTTCCACGGCAAAGTCGAAGGCCGACTGGTACGAAAAGATGGAGACCATTGCCAAATCCGTGGACGACCGAGTGTTCAAGCTGCTCAAAAGCTTGTACAAAATCGATTCGGTTCGTTACAACGACCTCTACCGCGAGGGCCTGACGGCCAAGATGGTCCGCAGCGTTCCCGAGGACGATGAACTGGACATGAATCCAAAATCGGCTGCCTTGCTGGCTCTCCACAACGTCTTGCTAGTTATCAAGAAGAGCTACGGAATTCTCGTTTCCAAACAATAGTACAGGTAATTACGCATTCGACTCAAACCCAGCTATCCTGGGAATTTAATGAATTGCAAAGGTTCTTTCCCAAAAAATATTTTCTGCCTTTTGTTGTAGTTGTGCGCTCCAAAGCCCGACAGATCTAGCGTCGGAACGCACGAATCGGTATTCGACAATCGACCGGGCAGATCAAAATAAGTGAATACGAATATCTAGTTTACACTTCGAATAGCGCAGAAGCCGAGACCGGAGGAATCCGTGGGAGGACTTCCACCCGAAAAGAAAAACGACCAAGACATCGTCTCGACGAAAAACAATGCGCCCCGGTCTCCTCACTGCTCTAAACCTCTTCGGTGCCATCTGCACCCCTCGACGGGCTTACCCACCAGGTCGGGATGTCCTCTTCTTTCGACCAGCTCCGGCCCAGGTTGCCCGCGAGGTGTCCGACGCGCTGGATGAGCGAAAAGACCTTGTTGCCGGGGCTGGCGTTGAGCTTGAGCCCCGCCGTGTGCAGCAGCCCAAAGACCGCCGCCTTGCCCTGGGTGTTTCCCTCCAGGCGATCAACCACCGCACCAACCTGCTCGTAGACGATCTTTCCCTCCGGGTTCCAGACGACGCAAAAGGTGGCGACGGGGGCTTCCATCTCGTTGCCGGTGGCCGGGTAGATCGTCCCGAAGTTGTTCATGTCCCCCGTGTTGGTTCCCCTCCACCGCTGCATGTAGAAGCACCGGTAGGGGTTTTCGGGGTCGATCGAGAACCCAAAGGAATCGATTCGAATGTCCGGAAAGGCGCTGCGGAGGTCCAGACCTTTTTGGCCCTCGACCAGGTCTTTCCGGTTGATGGGCCCGATCACGGGGCCCCTCAGAACGTAGTCCTCGGCGTACCATTCCTCGTTCAGGCCCGCGTCCTCTGTCTGCTTCGCAACGTAGGTCTTGGTTTTCTCGAGGACGTCGAACTTCGGATTCTTGTCGAATTTCAGGTATTCGAACATGGGAGATTTGGAGATTTCCCCGCTGGCCGATTTTGCGGCAGCGGACGCCGGAGTCTGGGTGGAAAAGGCGGAGGCGTTGCTCGCTAGAAACGCCACAACAACGCCGGTGAAAATGCGGGGCGATCGAATGGACACCATGGTTTCGTTCTTGCCGTGCCGTTTTCTGTTCGATGGAATGGATTGGGTTGTTTTGTTTTGTGCTGTTGTGTGGAAACAATACCGAAGGTGAGGTGCAGGTKGTAGGATACCGAATGCAATGTCGTAGTATTACTTTTCTTTACAACCACGACGCAACAGCTGCCGAACGGTAGCAAAGCATCGAAGTTTATTGGTACGAGTACCGTGTTGTTATTTCTGAGTTGTCCTTCAGTGTTAGTCGTAAACTAGGAGTACTCGTACCGGTACCGGTACGAGCATGGGTACTCGTACCGAATGCGTGATAGATCTTGTACTTTGTACTCGTAGCATAGTCGTTGCACGAGGCGAGTACGAGTAACGAGAACGACTCTTACATAAAGTCGTATCCAATGAAGAACGGTAACGAGGCGTCTCTTACCCTCGTCAGCGAAAAAATGAGGTAATTTTCTTTCTTTCGTCGGTGATGGAAGTGGTGACGGATGACAAACAGCAGCTTTCGTATTATACATACTATGAGTACATATGATCTGTACGTTGTATCACGTTGTTTGTTGCAGTAAGCAAGCGTACAGTACCGTACAGTACGGTACTTCTGGCTTAATAAATCTATAATACATATGATCTGTATCTATTATAAATACATACGTATCTTTCCATGTCGCTCTCGCAACTTCTCTCGCGATCCACGTCACTTCCCGTCGTCATAGCGCACGGTTCGAACTAAACTTCTCCCGAAAGCACGAAAAAACACCGTCTCGAGAAATCCTTCAAAAACAAAAACCGTTTCGTTCTTCTTTCGAGTTGTTCAGTTTGCCTGCCTCTTGCCCTTTGGTTGTCGCCATCGAAATAAAGCGTTCGGTTTTTCTGACTGGATCAACGCAACCAGTCGTCGATACATTGCGACACCGCGTACGGTAATCTTACTCGTGCCTCAAAAAGTACATTGTTCACCCAATACAACACACAATCGCTCGGTTCAACAGCTGAGTGGAGCAACTGATACTGACTGCAGTGGGTGTTCAGGGAGGGACACTCGACAGAAAAAACAGGGGGGCGACTTCTGCACCACAATCGAATCCAACATGACGAAGAACACGAAGACTAAGAATAACCTGCTGGTAACAATAGCAGCTGCGGCTGCGGCTGTAGCCACCGTGACAGGGCCGACAACGACAACAGCCTTTGTGCCGACCACGCACCAACCGGTCTTTCGGCACGGAACACGGGGGATCCATTCACAGAAAAAGGCTTTCTCGTCGCTGCACGCGGCAGCGACGCCACCGCCGGAATCCGCAATCGATGGGATCCTGGCTGCGGGAAAGTCTGTCGCGGGGGAAATCCTCGGCAGCAGCGAAGCCCTCGCAGAGATCGTGACCAAGTCGATCGAAACCGCCAAGAACCTGTTGCCGGACGATCCGCTGCTGGTGCTTCACTACAGAGACGACATCGTGTCCCAGCTCACCCTGCTCCTGGTCGACAATCCCTGGCACACGCTGGCGATCGCCGCCTTTTCGGCCGGCGCCTGGTTCCAGTGGGCGATTCTCTTGTCGCCGATCGACTTTTCCAACGACAAGGAAACCCCCTTCCAGCCGGGTGCCGACACCTACAGCCCGGCCAAGGCGGAAGCCTTTTACGGCCAGCGGAAATTCATGGTCGTCAAGCGCCTCCTGCAGCTGGCCTCGCTGACCAGCTCCTTCACGACCGGCCTGTTGTTCGACTGGCTCGTGCTGGGGAAACTCCTCGGCGACGATGAATACAAGGCCCTGGCACGCAACGAGCCCCGCCGGGCCAAGGTAGCCCTGCGCCTGTGCGAGCAGCTCGGGCCGACCTTCATCAAGCTCGGCCAGGCCCTGTCGATCCGGACCGATCTCATCCCGGAGGCCTATGCGCTCGAGCTACGGGCCCTCCAGGACCGGGTCTCGCCGTTCGAGAACTCGGTCGGAATCGACATCCTCAAGCGGGAGTTTGGCGTCGACGACCTGTCGCTCATCTTTAGCGAGCTCACGGAGGACCCCGTCGCCTCGGCCTCGGTCGGGCAGGTCTACAAGGGAAAGCTCGCCGTGACCGGCAAGGACGTGGCCGTCAAGATCCAGCGGCCGGGGATCCTGTCCGAAATCGCCTTGGACCTGTACATTCTGCGCCTGCTGACCCCCATCCAGACACGGCTTCAGAACGCGGCCAACGGCGTCCCAACCAGCCAGGAAGACATCGACATTGCCATTACCCTGGTCGACGAGTGGGGCCGGGGCTTTGTGGCCGAGACGGACTACCGCCTCGAGGCCGAGAACACGATCAATTTCCAGGCCGCCATGAAGTCCCGCAACCTCGACGCCGTCTGCGCCCCCACCGTGGTGGACGAGCTCGTACGGGACAAGGTCCTGGTGACGGAGTGGGTCGACGGAACACGACTGGACCTGGACGCGAGCCCCGACGTCCCTCGCCTGTGCGGGGTGGCCATCAATGTACGTGCATTCCCCTGGTGCATGGGCACCGCATTGCTTGGTTTTGTGTTCTAGTTCAGTTCGTTTTGGTTGGTGGCAAAGACCATTGCCCATCATTTTCCATCATTGCCCACTTATCCTCCTTTGGAACGCTACGATTTGACCAAGATGCAAATCTCACTTTCTTTTTTCTCCGCGATTTTTTTTAAAACCATCCAAGGCCTACCTCACCATGTTGCTAGACACAGGAGTATTGCATTGCGATCCGCACAAAGGAAATTTATTGCGTACCACGGATGGTAGACTGTGCATTCTCGATTGGGGTATGACTCTCGATGTCCCAAAAGACCTGCAGTATGCTCTGTTGGAATTCATTGCCCACATCAACGTGGAAGACTACGACGCCATCCCACAGGATTTCATCAACCTCGGCTTCTCACCCCCTGATGTGACACCGGAACGTCTCCAGTCTTCTGGCATCACGGAGGGTTTGAGTTTTGCCTTCCGCCAGCTGGCGCAAGGGGGTGGCCCCAAAAAGATCCAGGAACGTGTCAAGGCGGAATTCATTGAGCGCTACGGAGATGGGTTAACGGACGAAGAACTCCGAGACGCCGCCAGGGCCGAGATGCAGCAGCGAATGGAGGCCCAGCTGGCTTCTGAGGGAGTGGACGTGAAGGGCGTCACGAACATCATGGAGGAAGTCTCCAAGCGAAACCGTGAATTGTTTTCCCTGCCGCCTTACGTCTTGTATCTGGCCCGTGCCTTCTCCACTTTGGAAGGAATCGGTCTGAGTCTCGATGAAAACTACTCCATCATCCAGGAATGCTATCCTTATTTGGCCAGTCGTCTTTTCACGGATCGCAACCCCAGAGCAAAGAAAGCCCTCAAGGCCATGTTGGGACTGACGCAAGAAGAAGAAGCGTTGGCCACACACGATCCAAACTCGGCACTGGCCCTCGTACAACAAGCCACACGGGATGCAGCCGCTGCCAATGCCGATGCCACCGGTAAAAAAGAAGGTCTGTCCCCGGCCAAGTTGATGGAAATGACCGAGGGATTCGCCTCCTACACATCCGCTACGGCAGACGTAGACAACGAAGGAAAGGGGCAGGCCAAGGCTGCTGCCGAATTCGGCAAGCTCTTTTTGGATCCAAAGGGATCTACCTTGCAAGACATTTTGGTGGACGAAACCGCAAAATACGGCGATGCCCTTGCAAGGCGTGCCCTTCGTGCGGCACTAGTCGACAATCCCGCCGCCAGGGCTACCTCCTCAATCCTTCGGGGTCCCAAGCAACTTTTGGGAGAGAACGACTCTTTCTTTCCAAGCCCGCTCAAGAGTCTGCTGGTGGACCAACCCGCCGGAATCCCCGATCTCATCGAGTCATTGGTGGCATCTACCGAAGAAGACGACAAGATTATCGCCACCGTTGAAGAGCTGAGGAACGCCGTTGGACCAGCCGTTGTCGACGGGATCGCTTCCGGGTCGCTGACCTCGAATGGCAAGAGCGAGGAAGGTTCTAGGCAGGACTCGGTTCTTTCCACCCTAACTGATCTGGTTTCCAACGAGGAGACGAGGAATACCATCACCGAGCAACTGCCCGGGGTCGTTGCCCTGTCCCGTCGAATGGGCGCCGGGCTCCTCCGCCGGGCGGCCTACCGAACCGAGCGCGCCCACGAACTGCCCGAAGAGACGCGGAAGCAGCTGGCCGACCTGAACACGGCGCTCGCGAACGCCGTGGAACCAGAGCAACAAGAAATCGAGCAATAATCGCAATCACTCTGGATGGACGATTCGTTTGAGTCGATCACTTTTCGGCGCATCCACCACCCTACTCTTAGACCCATGTTCGGAACACAATACCACGTTCTCCCCAATCCACCTGGGGCCCTTTCGACTAAAGTTTTTGAAAACTCTACCTTCCGTGTTTTTGGAAGCTCAATTCATTCGGATCTTGATCAGAATGCCTCTTCCTTCTTAGCATGATAAATTATTCGCCACTGCTTTTACGAAAAGTACTTACTAGTTGTTAGTATGTGATAAACAGTAGATGAGTGTCGGGACAAGAAGCAAACAAACCCACACCGCCTGAACGAACTACTGTAGTGCTCATTGCGCTCCTAGCAGAAGGCAGTGTGAAAAAGTAAGTATGAGAAAATACAATTGGACTACGAGCGGCAATCTTTTTGATACAAGATGGGTAGTTGCTGTGTCGCATTGTATGGTTGCTAAAAATGATGCTTTAGCTCGGTACTG